GGATGGCTGCAAATAGCAGCCATCCCCTAGTCACGTGACCACAATTTGGGACATTTTTTATTGTAAACTGGCAAATACTTCCAGTTTTTGGCAAAAGCACCCCACGGCGAACAATGGGTTTAACTTAACAACCAGAGTGGTCACCTAATTATCATCTGTTAAAAATGCTTAAAAGTGGTCACTTGGTCACTTGTTTGCTATCACTTGTTTTGGTGCTGTTAGTAACTTTGAGCAGTCACTAAATGAACTGTGTTGTAAGTCAAGGACTACCTGTAGTTTTATACCGGTGGTTTTTTTTCAAACAGTTTTTAAGATGTGAGGGCTGAAGGATTCTGGGAGTTGAAGTCCATGCATCTTAATATTGCCAAGTTTGAAATACATTGCTATATAACATCGATGCGATGTCTCTTGTGATTCCCAGAAGTACAACTCTTAAAATATACGGGTGGTTCTTTGACTTACGACCACAATTGAGACTGGAATTTTTGTCGCTAAGCAATGTGGGCATTATCTCAGTCCACTCCCAATTTTATGACCTTTTTACCATGGCTGTTAGCAAATAACCTGGTTGTTAAACGAATCTGTTTTTGCCTGTTGTCTTTGCTTTTTAGAAGCCTGCAGAGAAGCTGCAAATGGTGATCCCATGACCCCACAATGACCATTTGCTTAACAGATGCTTTTTTTAGTTTTTAAAAATAAACTTTATTAAACATTAAAAATATATACATAATACAAAACATTTCATAAAATACGAAGCCAAAAAGGTATCCATAACCAATAAACATAAAAACAAACATTTCTAATTATTTAGACAGTGAGTTCTTATCAAACAGTTTTCCAGTGCTTGCTTCCTCTATCTGGTAAATACTCCTATCATAATCTCTTTATATTTTCCCTTCCCCATCTGTTTATTCACTGGTTTCTATCCTTTATCCAATTATACCAGTTTTCCCAAAGTGTATAATTTTTTTAGTCTTCCTTATCTTTTAACTTTTGGGTGAGTTTATCCATTTCCGCGCAGTCGTAGAGATCTTCTGGATTATCAAGTTATCCTTGGCAAACCGATGCCTTTTTAAAAGATTATAAAATTGGGGCAGACTTGTCACAACTTACGATCATAATGGGCAGGCTCCATTAGGCCCATAGGTTGCGGATTACTTGTATGTTCCAAATGAAAATGCTATTTTCAGAAATTTCAGTCAAGCTATATCAAGTTCTCAGTGATTCCAAAGAATTTCTTCTCACCATGAGGATGAGCCATGGTGATGCAGTGGTTAGAATGCGGTACTGCAGGCTACTTCTGCTGATTGACTGCTGCCTGCAACTTGGCAGTTCGATTCTGACAGGCTCAGGATTGACTCAGCCTTCCATCCTTCTGAAGTCAGTAAAATGAGGAGCCGGATTGTTGTTGGAGGCAATAGGCTGACTCTGTAAACCGCTTAGAGAGAGCTGTAAAAGCACTGTGAAGCGGTACATAAGTCTAAGTGCTATGGCTATTTAGTTATCTCATTTTCTGCATTTCCACCCACTCCTTTGGGATGCATTTTCTTCTGTGAGATAGAATTTCAAGATGGAGTAGTCTGTCTTTGGCACGGTATGTTATTTTGCACATCAAAAATATGTCATGTAACAAAAGACCTCTGTTGCTTAGACATGCTTCCTTTTCAGACAGAACTTGGCAGCTCATTCCAACGCTTTGATTTTGGTTTTATATCTTGTCCAAACAGGTAGTCCTCGACTTAATTGAGCCCAAAATTTCTGTTGCTAAGTGAGACATTTGGTAAGGGCCCCATTTTACGACCTTTCTTGCCACAGTTGTTCAGTGAATCACAGCACTTATTAAATTAGTAACAGGGTTCATAAATGAATCTGGATTCCCTGTTGACTTTGCTGGTTGCAAGGCTTGAAAAGGGGATCACGGGAAAACAGGACACGGCCACTGTTGTAAATATGAGTCAGTTGCCAAGCGTCTGAATTTTGATCACATGACTATGGGGATGCTGAATGGTGCAGTAGCCTAGAGGTAGAGTGCTCGCCTCACAATCAGGAGGATGTGAGTTCGATCCCAGGTAGTGGCAGATATTTCTCTATACCTGCTGAATGTAACTCTACATTGGCAACAGGAAGGGCATCCGGCCAGTGAACACTCAGCTCCATTCAGTTGCCCGGACTCCACCCCGCAAGGGATTATGCGGTCACTAAAAGAGGGTAATGATGATGACCATGGGGATGGAGTTATGGTTGTAAGTGTGAAAAATGGTCATAAGCCATTTTTTTCGGTGATGTTGTAACTTCGAATGGTCACTAAAGGAACTATTGTAAGTCGAGGACTATCTGCATTAGTGGAGTGATTGATCAGTTAATAACAGATCCCATCTCCCTCCCCATCTTTGCAGTGTTTGACTTTCTGTACTAACTTATTTATGGTTTTACTTTATATACAGTATTTTATCTTTTACGATAGTGTAAGCCGCCTGGAATTACCTTGAGGTAAGCTGGGCGGCCAATCGATTTTATAAATAAAATAAAATAAAAAATAAACGTTCTTGAATAAAGTGTTAGATCCCTCTTGTGATAGAAAAGAAATCCAGGATGTGTTTGTTGGATAAAATCAGGGGGGAAACGCTAGGCCAATTTATCTGAAATCATTTCACCATAATGAAATGCCAGAATGCTAAAGCAGATCCCGTAACATTCATCGCAACTTTTTGTAACTGGAGACACATTTTCTTTCACACGGATGCCAGCAGCTCATACAAGACCCAGGAGGGCCGTGCTGTCAAAATGTCATGCAAAAAAAAGGGAGCCAAATTTTATTTTTAGGGAGAGCATAGACTGAGCCTTTCCATTTTTATTGCTAGCTACTTTCCATGGGCTGAGCCTGTGGCAAGGCAAGGCGTATCTTACTTTCGTTTCCTGATGTGAAACAGCTGGCAAACAGCTCGCCACATGTTTTTAACCATCTGTTACCCAAATGTCGGTCCTGCAGTTCTGGGGGGGGGGGGGAATGAAGATGCCTCCTTGTGGTACTTCTGGGACCTTAATGCAAACCATGGTTTGCTCACCCCCTGGAAATACAACTATTACAGAAGTGTAAGTTTAGGCTCACTGGATTATTCAGTCAATGAACTCCAGTGTTGTGTCATTTTGCCTTCCTCTCTTAATTCATACACCACCTTCTTCTTCTTCTTCTTCTTCTTCTTCTTCTTCTTCTTCTTCTTCT